GTAAAGTAATTAGCCTCCAATTAATAAAAATAAATGAAAAAAAACAATGCATACAGAAATTTAAAAGTACAATTCAAAATAATATGTACAAATGAATGCAATTTTATAAAATTATATTTATATAGGGCTTCCCTGGTGGCTCAGTGGTAAAGAATCCGCCTGCTGACATAGGAGACATGGATTCAATCCCTGATCCTGGAAGATCCCTCAAGCCACCAAGTAGCTAAGCCCTTGTGCCACAACTATCGAGCCTGTGCTCTAGAGGCCGGGAGTCACAACTACCGAGCCTGTATGCTGCAATTACTAAAAGCCCACATTCCCTAGAGCCTGTGCTCCACAACAAGAGAAGCCACCACAATGAGAAGCCTGGGCATTGCCATTAGAGAGTATCCCCACTCACTGCAACTAGAGAAAAGCCTGTGTAGCAAGGAAAATCCAGCACAGTCAAAAATAAGTAAATAAATAATTTTTAATAATATACTTATATAAATACAAACATGGAAATTTAGAAATACATAAACATGTAAAGTACAGAAATGAGGAACTATTTCTAGGATGTTGGGTTTGTTTGTCATTTATTTCTACAACGTAGTTCCTTCTTTTCAGGAAAACTTGCAAGCCAAGTGGATGACCTAAGGATAAACGAAAACATCACTTCTGGAATGAAAGTAAAAGAAATGGGAAGCAATGGAAGGTATTTAATGGGATGGGAAAGGGCTCCCATTCCAATATAAATGAGAAAACCTCAAGACTAAGCTGAACCCCCTCCACTAAAGTGCATGCATGCACACTTTCTCTCTGTGAGCACTGTATGGTGTGCACTGATGAACTGATGGGGAACATCTTACCAGGCCATTGGGGACTTGCCCCAAATAGCTATTTCCCACTTAGTTGTTATTGTTGTTTAGTCGTTCAGTCGTGTCTGACTCTTTGTGACCCCATGGACTGCAGCATGCCAGGCTTCCCTGTCTTACACCATCTCTGGAGTTTGTTCAAACTCATGTCCATTGAGTCAGTGATGCCATCCAACCATCACGTCCTCTGTCATCCCCTTCTCCTCCTGCCTTCAATCTTTCCCAGCATTAGGCTCTTTCCCAATGAGTTGGCCCTTCACATCAGGTGGCCAAAGTACTGGAGCTTCAGCTTCAGCATCATCAGCCCTTCCAGTGAATATTCAGGGTTGATTTCCTTTAGGATTGACTGGTTTGATCTCCTTGCTGTCCAAGGGACTCCCAAGAGTGTTCTCCAACACCACAGTTCAAAAGCATCAATTTTTATGTGCTCAGCCTTTTTTTATTGTGCAGCTCTCACATCCATACATGACCACTGGAAAAACCATAGCTTTGACAATACGGACCTTTGTATGCAAAGTGATGTCTCTGCTTTTTAATATGCTGTCTAGGTTGGTCATAGCTTTTCTTCCAAGGAGCAAGTGTCTTTTAATTTCATGGCTGCAGTCACCATCTGCAGCGATTTTGGAGCCCAGAAAAATAAAGTCAGCCACTGTTTCCTTTGTTTCCCCAACTATTTACCATGAAATGATGGGACCAGATGCAATGATCTTGGTTTTTTGAATGTTGAGCTTTAAGCCAGGTTTTTCACTCTCGTCTTTCATCTTCATCAAGAGGCTCTTTAATTCTTTTTCACTTTCTGCCATAACGATGGTATCATCTGCATATCTAAGGTCATTGGTGTTTCTCCAGGGAATCTTGATTCCAGCTTGTGCTTCATTCAGCCCTGCATTCTGCATGATGTACTCTGCACATAAATTAAATAAGCAGGGTGGTAATATACAGCCTTGACGTACGCCTTTTCCAAACTTGAACCAGTCAGTTATTCCACGTCTAGTTCTAACTGCTGCTTCTTGACCTGCACACAGGTTTCTCAGTAGACAGGTAAGGTGGTCTGGTATTGCCATCTGTTTCATAATTTTCCAATTTGTTGTGATCTACACAGTCAAAGGCTTTAGCATAGTCAATGAAGCAGAAGTAGATGTTTTTCTGGAATTCCCTTGCTTCTTCTATGATCCATCGGATGTTGGCAATTTGATCTCTGGTTCCTCTGCCTTTTCTAAATCCAGCTTGTACATCTGGAAGTTCTAGGTTCACATACTGTTCCCACTCAGTACACCTGGCCTAGTGCACTGGTTCTCATTCAATGTGGGCCTGGGGTAGGATCTGAGAATTTATTTCTAACACATCCCCAGTGATGTGGCTGCATCCTCGCTTTGAGACCCTCCGGCGTCATGCCTGGGTTGGCAAACAGAGGAGGACACCCAGAGACTGGCAAACTTGTGAGACCTGCAACCTCAGGGCTTGGTGGCTAGGACCCTCCTCCATGCCTTTAGCCTCCAGCATTTCTTGACAATTTGGGAAAATTGCAGGGATCTAACGTAGGGTTAACTCGTATCAATTTACAAAGCCTAGGTCGAGTAGAAATGGAATTCTAGAAGATGTCTCATCAGACTTTGCAGCTTAGACTTCAGATTTATTTCAGATTCATCAAAGGAGAAAGACTGGCAGTACTGCCGAAGTGAGCGGGTTTTCCGCAAACACTGCAGCAAGCAGCTTCCTTCCAAATCACCAAAGGACTCTGCTTCGTTTTTTCAGACGTGAAAGGCAGGCGAAGAGGCAGTGTAGATGGGGCTGGGGGTGAGGAATTAAGAGTTTCTTGGCATTTCTGGAGCAACATTGCCACCAAGAGGAAAATGTAACAAAGCCTCAAGCCATGTGAGCAAACAAAAGGAGGCTGTTGTTCAGTTGCTCAGTTGTGTCCGACTCTTTGCAATCCCATGGATTTCGACACACCAGGTTCCCCTGTCCTTCACTATCTCCTGGAGTCTGCTCAAACTCATGTCCATTGTGTCGATGATGCCATCCAATCATCTCATCCTCTGTTGCCCCCTTCTCCTCTTACCCTCAATATTTCTACAATACGAGAAAGAAAGGAATGCTTTGGTGGAACAGAAAATCCAGAAGTCATGAATGACTGACTCAGAAGACAAATTGAAGATGATCCCAGTGATTTGTCGATGGGACAATCTGAGCATCAACAAGGTTGCAATGGTTTGAAATACATGAAATATAAACTTGGGTTTTTGTTTTGTTTTTTTTTCCCCTGCATCATGTGGTCAGTGGGATATGTTTTTCCACCAGGGGAACCTGTGGTCCCTGCAGTGATAGTATTGAGTCTTAATCCCTGGACCACCAGGGAAGTCTTGGGAAACAGCTCTTTATGTTGGAAACTGATAAATATAGGGAAAGAATCAAGTATCAATTATTGATCCTGTTTTTCTTATACAAGCAAAGAGTTGGGGGGGGTAGATCTTTTTATAAATATATTTGCGCTAATAAGTGGAAGAATAAGAGAATCAAAATATTCTACTTTGTCACCCCTTTGTAAATAAATGGATCCAGTCACTGCCCATCAATGACTTGTGACATCATAAAAAGAGACAACCAACAGTATGTGCCTAATTATGGGGGCGCAAAGCATCCACACTGACAAACCTAAACAGTGTGTTGAAAAGCAGAGACATTACTCCACTGACAAAGTTCCATATAGTCAAGGCTATGGTCTTCCCAGTGGTCACATACAGTTGTGAGAGCTGGACCTTAAGGAAGGCCAAATGCCAAACAATTGATGCCTTCGAACTGTGATGCTGGAGAAGACTCCTGAGAGTTCCTTGGATGGCAAGATCAAATCAGTCCATCTTAAGGGATATCAACCCTGAATATTCATTGGAAGGACTGATGCTGAAGCTGCAGCTCCAATACTTTGGCCACCTGATGCGAACATCTGTGGTCATCTGATACCAACAGCTGACTCACTGGAAAAGTCCCTGATGCTAGGAAAGATTGAGGGCAGGAGAAGAGGGCATCAGAAGGTGAGATGGCTGGATGGCATCACCGATGCAATGGACTTGAACTTAAGCAAACTTTGGGAGATGGTGAGGGACAGGGAGGCCTGGCATGCTGTAGTCCATGGGGTGGAAAAGAGTTGAACACGACTGGATGACTGAACAACAACAATAAAGCATCCATATGAAGCCATCCTGAATATATATTAAAAAATCAGGGTTATGTGAAGGCTGAATGGATATTTGAAACTATTTAGGATTTCTTATTATTTTTTTAGATGAGAAAATGGTATTGAGGTTAGATTTTCTAAAGAGTCCTTATCTTTCAGATACACATACTGACCTATCGTACATTAAAAAATATGATGTCTGAGATTTGCTTCAAAATAATCTGAAGGGTACATAGTGGATGGGATATATAGATGATTGGCCATGAGCTTATGAATTTTGGAGCTAGATGGTGGTACAGAATGTTCATTTTGCTGTTCTCTAGACTTCTGTGTAAGTTTCTAATATGCCCTAATACAAAGTAAACATGAAATTATGGAAAGGTTGGAATTACGCCTTTTATAAGCACAGTGCCCTTAATTCAGATCTAGCTTTGAATACACTCTTAGCACATATTCTATTTTTATAATTTGTATACATACAGCTTGTATGAAATGGGACTTAATAAAGTTGTAGATGGCCTAGTTTCATACAATCCTGAGTCATCTCACAATTTATGAGTCATTTCCCAAATCCATGACACCTACTTCTTGTTAAGGAAGTAGCAGTTCAACCCATGTTTAGCATTTCTTTTTGCTGGTAAACACATGCATGAATTCATGTGGTACTGCATTTTATATGTATTTAATACATGGAATTATTGTATGTACATGAGGTCTAGTAAATACAGTCAGAGGGTCTCAATATGCCCTGATCCATTTCATAGTGAATTGCATGTCTGAATCCTTGTTTCTGCCATTTGTGAGAAATGAAGCTTCTCTATCAGCAGTGTTAGCTGTTAGTGTTACTTAAAACCCTGCAATGACTCCCCACTAAATAAAGAACACATTCTGTCCTTTAACAGTAGGGATGCCTTCTTCTCTTACATCTACTTCTGGTTTCATCAGCTGTGGCCAAGCTGGCAGGAAGGTACTCAACACGCAGTGAAGAAGTCATTGTAACCTGGACCACAGCACCGAATGGGGCCCACTTCTTCCCAGGGAACAATGTGATTGACAGCCATTTCAAGGCTTCCAAAGCTGGGTTTGAAGCCTGTGCTGAAAAGATGTAGCACAGAAGGCCTGTGACTGCTGTCCTTAGGAAAGCCTGTTTGAAAATTTGGACATTGGTTAGTGTAAGAGACTGAATTGTGCCCCCACCCCAAATTCCTATGTTGCAGCCCTTCACCCAAAGTGATTGTACTTAGAGATAGGGCCTTTAAGGAGGTAATCAAGGTTAAATGAGGCCTTAGGGGTGGGGTCTCACCACCTAATGAGGCCATAGGGTGGTGTCCTTAGATGAAGAGGAAGTTCAGTTCTGTTCAGTTCAGTTGCTCAGTCGTGTCCGACTCTGCGACCCCATGAACCGCAGCATGCCAGGCCTCCCTGTCCATCACCAACTCCCGGAGTCCACCCAAACCCATGTCCATTGTGTCGGGGATGCCATCCAACCACCTCATCCTCTGTCGTCCCTTTCTCCTCCTGCCCTCAATCTTTCCCAGCATCAGGGTCTTTTCAAATGAGTCAGCTCTCCGCATCAGGTGACCAAAGTATTGGAGTTCCAGCTTCAACATCAGTCCCTCCAATGAACACCCAGGACTGATCTCCTTTAGGATGGACTGGTTGGATCTTCTTGCCGTCCCAAGAGACTCTCAAGAGTCTTCTCCAACACCACAGTTCAAAAGCATCAATTCTTCTGCACTCAGCTTTCTTTATAGCCCAACTCTCACATCCATACATGACTACTGGAATTCCCATCTCTTTAAGAATTTTCCATTTTGTTGTGATCCACATAGTCAAAGGCTTTAGCATAGTCAATGAAGCAGTAGTAGATGTTTTTTCTGGAATTCCCTTGCTTTTTCTATGAACCACCAGATGTTGACAGTTTGATCTCTGGTTCCTCTGTCTTTTCTAAATCCAGCTTGTACATCTGTCACTTTACTGCTTGTATTGCTGCCAGCTCCTCAGACGCAGAATGCTTACTTTAGTCATCACTGTATTCTCAGTGCCTAGAAAAGAGTAGGGTCCCAGTGTCTGCTGAGTCATTGGTGGGGGTTTCTTAAAACAACAGAAATTTTGGGAATTCCCTGGCTGTCCAGTGGTTAGATACCCATGCTTTCACTGCCAAGGGCCCAGGTTCAATTCCTGGTCGGAAACTAAGACCCACAAGCCATGCAGTGCTGTCAAAAAAAAGAAAAAAGAAAAAAGAGAAAAAAACCAGAAGTTATTTTATAGTTCTGGAAGTTAAAAGTCTGAAATCAAGGTGTTGGTGGCAGGGCCATGTTCCCTCTGAAGGCCCCAGGGGAGGGACCTTTCTTGCCTCTTCCAGCTTCTGGTGGGTTGCCAGCAATCCTTGGTGGCCCATAGCTTGCAGACTTATCACTCTAATTTCTGTATCCATTGTCACATGGCATTCTCCCCGTGTGTGTATTTCTGTGCCTCTTCTCATCAGGATGCCAGTGACTGTATTCAGGGCTTGCCCTAATCTAGGATGACCTCATCTTAACTCACATCTTAATTACTCCTGCAAAAACTGATTTCCAAATAAAGTCACATTCACAGGTTAAGACTTGAATAAACTTGGGTGGGCAGGGGAACACAATTCAACCCACAACACCTTGTTTCAGCTATATCAGGATGCCTCATTGGTCAATGCTAATGATTACTGACAATAATTTCTAATTTTCCCTGAGTACTTGCCATATTGTGGGCACTTGGCTAAGTACTTAATGTGCATTATTGCATATGATTCTCTCCCTCCACCATAGAAACTATTATTATACCCATTTAATTGATAAGGAAACTGAGGCCTGGTGAGGTGAAGCAACTTGTCAAGTTTCTCATTCAGTTAGTGGTAGATTATAATTTCCAAAATTATGGAAATTATACAGGTGGTAGACTATAATTTTAAAAATTATGAAAATCATACAGATTTCTCCAGACCACCTTACCTCTCTCCTGAGAAACCTGTGTGCAGGTCAAGAAGCAACAGTTAGAACTGGACATGGACTGGTTCAAAATTGAGAAAGGAATACATCAAGGCTGTATATTATCACTCTGCTTATTTAACTTATGTGTAGAGTACATCATGCAAAATGCTGGGCTGGATGAAGCACGAGCTGGAATCAAGATTGCCTGGAAAAATATCAATAACCTAAGATATGCAGATGACACTACCCTTATGGCAGATAGTGAAGAGGAACTAAAGAGCCTCTTGATGAAGGTGAAAGACGAGAGTGAAAAACCTGGCTTAAAACTCAACATTCAAAAAACTAAGATCATGGCATCCAGCCCCATCCCCTCATGGCAAATAGATGGGGAAACAATGGAAACAGTGACGGACTTGAATTTATTGGGCTCCAAAATCACTGCAGATGGTGACTGCAGCCATGAAATTAAAAGACACTTGCTCCTTGGAAGAAAAGCTATGACCAACATAGACAGTGTATTAAAAAGCAGAGACATCACTTTACATACAAAGGTCCTTATTGTTAAACTATGGTTTTTCCAATACTCATGTATGCATGTGAGAATTGGACCATAAAGAAGGCCGAGCATCAAACAATTGATGCTTTTGAACTGTGGTGTTGGAGACTTTTGAGAGTCCTTGGACTGCAAGGAGATCAAACCAGTCAATCCAATCCTGAAGGAAGTCAACCCTGAACATTCATAGGAAGGGCTGATGCTGAAGCTGAAGCTCCAATACTTTGGCCACCTGATGTGAAGGGCCAACTCATTAGAAAAGAGCCTGATGCTGGGAAAGATAGAAGGCAGGAGGAGAAGGGGGATGGCAAAGGATGTGATGGTTGGATGGCATCACTGACTCAATGGACATGAGTTTGAGTCAACTCTGAGAGAGAGTGAGGATAAGGGAACCTGGCGTGCTGCAGTCCATGGAGTTGCAAAGAGTCAGACAAGACTGAGCAACTGAACAGCAACAACATAATTTCCGAAAATGGTCGCAGCAACATTTCTGGCCCCATGTGCCTTTCCAGAACCTTGTCGCTCCCCATCAAGAAGCAGAACCTTTTTCTTCTCCTTCTGAACCTGGGCAGAACTTTGTGACTGACTCAATGAATAGGGTATAGGGGAAGTGACACTATGTAACTTCCAAAACTGGTCATGAAAGGTACAACTTCCACCCGCCTCTCTCTGAGTCCTTGGCCTTGGAACCCAGCCATCATGCTGTGAGGAAGCCGAAAGCAACCACATGGAGAGGCCTGGGCTACAAGCAGCATCAACGTCCATCCATGTGAGTATGGCCTTCAGATGACCCGGGCACTGGTCTTCAAGTCTCCAGCTGGGGCTGCAGACAAAGAGGAGCAGAGACAAGCCATCATCACTGATGTAACCCTATGGGGCTGTCCCAGAGCTCTGTGGCCAGTCCTAGGGTGGGGGTGGGGTGGGGGACAGGGCCTGGCGAGTAGATTGTTCCTGCTGGCTAGTGTGGCATTTCTTTCATAGGATCTTATGAGTCCAGGACAGTAGAATGGTGGCAACAGGCTGATTTGGGGTGACTTTCAGTTATGTTGTTTATAGGCCAAGTTCAAGGCTCCAGGCCTGAACATTCAGTGCCAGCCCTTGTGCTTGAGCTGCATGTGTATCAGCTCTCACCATGACTTTTTCATGCCTCCAGTCTAGGGCACCTAAAGATACAGAGGTGGTGGCAGGTGCCTTTACCTTGTATAGTGTCCAGAGCAATCATTGCCTCCATAGGCTCTGCACCAGGTATCAGGCAGTTCTCTGGGCCATGTCCACTCTCTCTAGGAACTTTCAAGACAATTGCCCCACAACTCCAGTCAGGTCTCTTGGCTCATCAATGTGGTGACATCATGCTCCCCCAGGTGGGTCTCAAGCCCTGCCAAATGAAGAAAATGGCAACCCACTCTAGTATTCTTACTGGAAAATTCCATGGGCAGAGAAGACTGGAGGTTTACAGTCCACGGGGTGGCAAGATGAAGAATGGACATTCTTTAAAACAAAAACAAAAACAAAAACTTCCCTGATGATCCAGTGGTTAAGGGTCCACCTGCCAGTGCAGCTCACACAGGTTTGATCCCTGCAGCTCACACAGGTTTGATCCCTGGTCCAGGAACTAAGATCCCACATGCCATGGGGCAGCTAAGCCCGAGTGCCACAACTACTGAGCCTATGCACTCTAGAGTCTGTGCTCTGGAAGAAGAGAAGCCACTGCAATGAGAACCCTGCACACAACTAGAAAGTAAACTCCACTTGCTACAACTAGAGAAAGGCCGCTCCTAGCAATGAAGACCCAGTGTGGCCATAAATAAATAAAATTATTTTTAAATGAAATTTATGTATTTATTATTATTATATATTATTTTTATTTATTTATTTTAGGTCATGCCATGTGGCATGGGGGAATCTTAGTTCCCCAACCGGAGATTGAAGCTGTCCATGCCCTGTGCATTGAGAGTGTGTAGTCCTAACCACTGGACTGCCAGGGGAGTCCAAGAATAGACATTCTTTCTACAGTTGAGACTTCTCACTCTGCCATGGGCACCATGCTTTCCTCCCCCCCAGTGAGGATGTGTTGAAGGTATGGGTGCAGTCAAGTTTGCAATAGATCTCATTCTAGGAATGCAGTGATCATTGTTTAAAGAGTTAAAGAATAATATCGCTGGTAGTTTGATAGGGATTGCATTGAATCTGTAGATCGCTTTGGGTAGTATAGCCATTTTGACAATATTGATTCTTCCAATCCATGAACACGGTATATTTCTCCATCTGTTTGTGTCCTCTTTGATTTCTTTCATCAGTGTTTTATAGTTTTCTATGTATAGGTCTTTTGTTTCTTTAGGTAGATATACTCCTAAGTATTTTATTCTTTTTGTTGCAATGGTGAATGGTATTGTTTCTTTAATTTCTCTTTCTGTTTTCTCATTGTTAGTGTATAGGAATGCAAGAGATTTCTGTGTGTTAATTTTATATCCTGCAACTTTACTGTATTCATTGATTATCTTTAGTAATTTTCTGGTAGAGTCTTTAGGATTTTCTATGTAGAGGATCATGTCGTCTGCAAACAGCGAGAGTTTCACTTCTTCTTTTCCTATCTGGATTCCTTTTACTTCTTTTTCTGCTCTGATTGCTGTGGCCAAAACTTCCAAAACTATGTTGAATAGTAGTGGTGAGAGTGGGCACCCTTGTCTTGTTCCTGATTTCAGGGGAAATGCGAATAGCCAAAGTAATCCTGAGAAAGAAGAATGGAACTGGAGGAATCAATCTGCCTGACTTCAGACTATACTACAAAGCCACAGTCATCAAGACAGTATGGTACTGGCACAAAGACAGAAATATAGATCAATGGAACAGAATAGAAAGCCCAGAGATAAATCCACGAACCTATGGTCACCTTATCTTCGACAAAGGAGGCAAGGATATACAATGGAAAAAAGACAACCTCTTTAACAAGTGGTGCTGGGAAAACTGGTCAACCACCTGTAAAAGAATGAAACTAGAACACTTTCTAACACCATACACAAAAATAAACTCAAGATGGATTAAAGATCTAAATGTAAGACCAGAAACTATAAAACTCCTAGAGGAGAACATAGGCAAAACACTCTCCGACATAAATCACAGCAGGATCCTCTATGACCCACATCCCAGAATTTTAGAAATAAAAGCAAAAATAAACAAATGGGACCTAATGAAACTTAAAAGCTTTTGCACAACAAAGGAAACTATAAGCAAGGTGAAAAGACAGCCCTCAGATTGGGAGAAAATAATAGCAAACGAAGCAACAGACAAAGGATTAATCTCAAAAATATACAAGCAACTCCTGCAGCTCAACTCCAGAAAAATAAATGACCCAATCAAAAAATGGGCCAAAGAACTGAACAGACATTTCTCCAAGGAAGACATACAGATGGCTAACAAACACATGAAAAGATGCTCAACATCACTCATTATCAGAGAAATGCAAATCAAAACCACAATGAGGTTCCATTACACACCAGTCAGGATGGCTGCTATCCAAAAGTCTACAAGCAATAAATGCTGGAGAGGGTGTGGAGAAAAGGGAACCCTCTTACACTGTTGGTGGGAATGCAAATTAGTACAGCCACTATGGAAAACAGTGTGGAGATTTCTTAAAAAGCTGGAAATAGAACTGCCATATGACCCAGCAATCCCACTTCTGGGCATACACACCGAGGAAACCAGATCTGAAAGAGACACATGTACCCCAATGTTCATCGCAGCACTGTTTATAATAGCCAGGACATGGAAGCAACCTAGATGCCCATCAGCAGATGAATGGATGAGGAAGCTGTGGTACATATACACCATGGAATATTACTCAGCCATTAAAAAGAATGCATTTGAATCAGTTCTAATGAGATGGATGAAACTGGAGCCCATTATACAGAGCGAAGTAAACCTGAAAGATAAAGACCATTACAGTATACTAACACATATATATGGAATTTAGAAAGATGGTAACGATAACCCTATGTGCAAAACAGAAAAAGAGACTCCTATGTATAGAACAGACTTGTGGACTCTGGGAGAAGGCGAGGGTGGGATGTTTCAAGAGAACAGCATTGAAACACGTATATTATCTAGGGTGAAACAGTTCACCAGCCCAGGTTGGGTGCATGAGACAAGTGCTCGGGCCTGGTGCACTGGGAAGACCCAGAGGGATTGGGTGGAGAGGGAGGTGGGAGGGGGGACCAGGATGGGGAATACATGTAAAAAAAAAAAAAAAAGATACACTATGGTTGTGATAAAAAAAAATAAATAAAATTAAAAAAAAAATAAAGAGTTAAAGAAAAGACATGGCTAGAAGTTTTCTTATTCTACATTTATGATAAAAAATTCCAAACAGAAAATTTAACATGACCAGAAAATGAAGTATTTTTGTTCACATTTCCCCATGTACTCTGTGTAAGGTTTGCTGTTGTAGGTCTTATCAGCAAAACACAGAAGTATGAGGAATCATTGGAGGCCAGGATTTATGGGCAGCCCAATGGATGATGCGATGTCCCAAGTAAGATCTAACCAGCATTAAATAAATGGTATTAGGAAACTGCAGAGGCAAGAGCTCTACATTTTCCAGTACAAACAGATTCTAAAGAGCCATGGTATTGTGAGTAATAATGGCGTTGCCACCTTCTTGTGGTAGGAGATGAAATTAGCCAGGAATGGCACTGTGAGAAAATAGAAAATATATATTGTTTCTACCCCCGATTCCTGACACAGAGCTCCTGAACACCTTGTAAATTCCTACATGACAAGAGCACTAGCAGCCATATATCAACATGAATCAGCCATAGTTATACATGTTGATGTATGGCAGAAACCAATGCAACATTGTAAAGCAATTATCCTCCAATTAAAAATAAAAAACAGAAACAGAGCACTAACAACATCTTTTATTCTACTGAGTGACTCTAGGTAGATCTGGATGGCTCCTGGATGGGGGCTGGTCACCAGAAAGACCACACCATAGTTAGAAGCTTGAAATTTTCAGCTCCACCTTCCATCCTTCAGAGAGGGGAAAGGGCTGAAAATGAAGTTAATAATTGATCATGCCTACGTGAGGAAGCCTCCATAAAATTTCAATAGCATCAAGTTCTGGGAGCTTCCCGGTGGGTGAACCATCCACATACAAGGAGGGTGCTATACCCCAGTGTCACAGGGACAGAAGTTCCTGCACTAAGGAGTCTCCCAGACCTCACGCTAGGTTATCTCTTCATCTGACTGTTCATCTGTATCCTTTATTATGTCCTTTAATAAACTGGTAAACATAAGTATTCCCCAGAGCTCTGTGAGTTGCTCTAGCAAATTAATCTAACTTGAAGAGAAGGTCGTGGGAACCTCTGATTTGCAACCAAATCAGACAGAATTTGTGGGTAACCTGGGGACCTACTACTTGCAACTGGCATCTGAAGTGGGGTGAGAGGCAGTCTCATGGGGCTGAGCCCTTAACCTCTGGGATCTGATGCGTTCTCCAGGTAGATAGTGTTGGAATTGAGTTAAATTATAGGACACCCAGCTGGTGTCATAGAGAATTGCTTTATGTGGGGGAAAAACCCCACACATCTTGTGTTAGAGGTGTTGTGAGTGTTCTGTGTGAGTAGTATAGGAGACACATTGGAAAGAAAAACACAGAAGGAAGTGGAAAACTTGGTTTTTCCCTACATGGAAGGTGAAGGATGTTTTTTTTTTTTTTCCTTTTTAGGCACATTTGACAAAAAAGAACATAAAGAACATAAGGAGATGGC